CTTTGTGAACCTCCATGCGCAGATTTCGTGGCAGGTGCAGCACTTTGCGACCTCCATGCGCAGATTTCGTGGCAGGCGCAGCACTTTGTGAACCTCCATGCGCCAGCACTTTGTGAACCTCCATGCGCAGATTTCGTAGCAGGCGCAGCACTTTGTGAACCTCCACGCGCAGATTTCGTGGCAGGCCCAGCACTTTGTGAACCTCCATGCGCAGATTTCGTGGCAGTCACAGCACTTTGTGAACCTCGAGGCGCAGATTTCGTGGCAGGCACAGCATCTGGGGAGCTGGAAGCTGAGAACTGGCGGCAGTACAAGTTTAGTACGCGCAGCGGTCTGTGGAGCTGGAAGATGAGAACTGGCGACTTTGTAGTACAACTTTAGTACGCGGTGCAATCTGTGGAGCTGGAAGATGCGAACTGGCGACTTTCTAGTACAAGTACGCGGAGCAATCTGTAGAGCTCGAAGCTGAGAACTGGCGACTTTCTAGTACAACTGTAGTACGCGGAGTAACCTGTCGAGGTGGAAGCTGAGAACTGGCGATTTTGTAGTACGCGGAGTATCTGGGGAGCTGGAAGCTGAGAACTGGCGACTTTGTAGTACAACTGTAGTACGCGGAGTAACCTGTGAAGTTGGAACCTGAGAACTGGCGACTTTGTAGTACAACTTTAGTACGCGGAGTATCTGGGGAGCTGGAGGCTGAGAACTGGCGACTTTCTAGTACAACTTTAGTACGCGGAGTATCTGGGTGGAAGATGAGAACTGGCATCTGTGGAGCTGGAAGCTGAGAACTGGCGACTTTGTAGTACAACTTTAGTACGGGGAGTATCTGCGGAGCTGGAAGATGAGAGCTGGCGACTTTCTAGTACAACTTTAGTACGCGGAGCAATCTGTGGAGCTGGAAGATGAGAACTGGCGACTTTCTAGTACAAGTACGCGGAGCAATCTGTAGAGCTCGAAGCTGAGAACTGGCGACTTTCTAGTACAACTTTAGTACGCGTAGCAATCTGTGGAGCTGGAAGCTGAGAACTGGCGCGGAGTATCTGGGGAGCTGGAAGATGAGAACTGGCGACTTTCTAGTACAACTTTAGTATGCGGATGAGTCATCTCTTGCGGATGAGTCATCTCTCGCGGCTGAGTCATCTCTCGCGGCTGAGTCATCTCTCGCGGATGAGTCATCTCTCGGGGCTGAGTCGTCTCTCGCGGCTGAGTCATCTCTCGCGGCGACTTTGTAGTACAACTTTAGTACGGGGAGTATTTGGGGAGCTGGAAGATGAGAACTCGCGACTTTGTAGTACAACTTTAGTACGCGGAGTATCTGGGGAGCTGGAAGATGAGAACTGGGGACTTTCAAGTACAACTTTAGTATGCGGGTGAGTCATCTCTCGCGGCTGAGTCATCTCTTGCGGCGAATTGTAGCACAACTTTAGTACGCGGAGTACTTTGGCATCCAGGTCTGCGCGCGTCGCTGTGGACCACGCAGACCGATAGGAAATGCAAATGCACAATTGCTTCAGCACGCCGATGTGGGCTGCTGATCTTGCTGTGACACAGGCACAACATGGAAGCATAGACCTTGCACAGCTGGCACCGTGGTGGTCAAAAAGTCCGGAGCGCATGCATTTGACTGGGGGACGCGCGTGTTGGAGAGAACCTGAACACTCCTATAGGTCAATTTGTTCTTATAGGAAACTTCCGCCGCCGACTTGCCCGGGAACTGCTTGTATTACGTGAAAGGTTGTATGGGAGAAACGAACTTGTGTGTTTGGATCAGCCATGTTTGTGGCCACTTTGAAGCCTACATAGCTAAAAACCATCGATATTTAGAGGGTTTTGTGCCGGGAAGGCGCACAAAACCATGTAAATACCGTGGTTTTTTACAATTTTGAAGCCTCCGAAAGCCGAAAATACCCTTTCCGACGCAATCTTTCCTGGCTTTTGGTCATTTTTTCGGCAATTTTTCAAACCGCGACACGTCAAAAACCATCAGTTTTTACGATGTTTTTTGCCGAACAGCCACATAAAACCCTGTAAATTGCATGGTTTGAGGCCACGCTTGAAGACAGGAGGAGCTGAAAACACTGGTATTTACGGTGTTTTGTAGCCATCGATGCAGAGGCGCACCACGGTTGTGTGCTGGGAAAGCGCAGAAAACCGTGTAAATACCGTCGTTTTCTGCCGGGAAGGTGCACAAAACCGTGTAAATACCATAGTTTTGCGCAGTTTTAAAGCCTCCAAAAGCCTCAAAAACCCTTTCCGACAAAATCTTTCCTGGTTTTTGATCATTTTTTCGGTCATTTTTCAAACCGAGACGCATCAAAAACATTCAAAAACCATCGGTTTTTGGAATTGAAAGGGCCGGGGGCCCCCCGGCCAGCAAACGAATATGTCGGGGACCATTTCTCAGTGAGAAAAGCTCCACTCTGGGTATAATACATGTTTGCTAAAGCAAAAGGAAAACTCAGGTAGCGTAACCGCTACCTTTCGTGACAAAGCTATCTTTACTGAAAAATACACACTCACAGCGCTCCCCTCTCTTTAAAAACGCACAAAAACACCACGGCCATCTGTGGCACGTGCTCCAACTACACAATGCCAGAACGGTGGGCGCGCAGAGCAGATCAGTACAAGTTGGATGCACCGCGAGGCGCACGCGTGACAAGAATGAACGAGTGGGCAGTGGGGCAGAACTGTTTGGGCGCATCCTGTCTGACAAAGACCACGCACTAAGCAGGCGAGGATTCCTGAGTAAAGTGAAAGTGCTCGACGCAACCGCAAGAATCCTCCACTGATCCCAGGTTGGAGGCCATCCCTACCAGGTTGGAGGCCATCGCTTGTAGGAGCAAACGGGCATGTCCATGACTTGTAGGCATCTAGAATCCCGCGTAGCCCAGGCTTGACGCTTGAACCCGACAAAACGATCCTGAACCCTGTGGCCACAGTGAACACCTAAAACTCCCACATCTTGATCCTGCTTTGTCACCATGACATATTCGTCACCTAGTTATTAGACGCTATTAGTTCTGCAGCGCCCCTGCGCGTGGCAAGTTCTTTTGGCCGCCTCTCTTCTAGTACAACTTCGGATTCGGAGGTTACAACCTGCTTGCGTGTGGAATTAAGAAGCTGGCAAATGGGTTGGGAATGACCCGAGAGCGACTGTCCAAGGTGAAAGTGAGACCATACCCTCCTGGGAACTTACAGTGGCAAAAAAAGATGCCACAGTGACGCGAGGCGTATTTCAGTAGGAGAGGCGTACTTGCAGATCTCTCAGGCCAGTGGCGTATTTTCAGAAGTGAATAAAAACCCCTTTGGTAAAACATCGAAAGCAAGCAACTGCACTGTGGCCGCGCGGCTACTTGAAGGTCGCAGTTCAAAAGTTTCTCTCCAAAATCCGTAGCTCGGAAGTTTCATTCAAAAGTCCGTAACTCGGAAGCTTCACTTCTCCTGTTTTTGTGCTATACGCGCGGCAATCAATCTGGTTGTTTGAAACCTTTGCTTTTTTTGTGCGCAGTCTTCTGTACTGCAGGCATGGCTGCATGCGCAACTCGATTGCCCGCGACCGTGGTTTTTGGGTAAGAGGCCCAAACATGTATTTATCACGCATTGTATCGTATAAATGACAAATTTGAATAATACGTATATATATATATATATATATTTTATGATATTATATGCCCATGTTCTTTTCCACAGGGGTCTGTGTCGACTAGCTGGACTTAGTGGGCTTCCGCAGAAATCGCTAGAACATATATAGAGTTGAAGGTTTTGTCCCATTGAAAACCAACCACCGTGGGAATACACGAGCTCACAATCGGGCCGTTGCAACCCCATGCGCTTCTTTCGCTCATGAGCGGAGCTGCGCTCTTGGTACGAGGAGGTCCTGCCGGCGCAGTTGCAGAGCTGATCATTCTGTCAGACCTCGATCACACCTGGTGAACTGAATTTTGTTTGTGTGAAGGGCTCAAGTTTTGTTTCCACAAGTGTTCGGGCCGTTCGCATGGTTCGTTTGGCCCGCCGGTGGGACGGCCTCGCTGTGGTGCGGAAGAGGCTTCGTAAGGAGGGCGGGAATTGGATTCGAGAACCAGATTCCAAGGAGAAGGACCCTGTTGATGGTGGAGACTCTGATCAGGCCGAAGACTCTGGCCCACCTCTGAACGCCGACTGCCTGAAATACAACGACACCATCCTGTGGGAGATGTTTCATTGCTGGGGCTTTAAACCAAAGCCAACAGTTGATAAAATTAAGGCTGAGGCAGGGTTCCCCCAAAAAGTTCAATACATGCGCCGTTTGGTTATTCTAATTTATTGTAACTTTTTAGGGCCAGGGTACCGCAGTCCACTATTCATATTGGCTCTATTGGCTCTGTTCCGGGCAGGTGAACGCCCTCTTCGAGATTTCCGAGCACAGGCCGCACCCCAAACAGGCCTACAAAGATGCCTGGACGTTGAAACGCTTGTGGGGGTACGCACAGCGTCGGCAAAGAGACGCTGAGAAGAGAAATCAAACACCACGGGAACCTAGGTTGAACTATCAATTTTTCCTGATGTGCTAGTTCATGAACAGTAGCTCAAATCCAAAAAGCATTCGATGGAACGGCCTGGCGAACAATACAACTGCTCATGAGGATGCTGGGACGCGGCTACTCTTCGCGAAGATCAAAGAGGTTCGTGAACAACAGCATGGTTTCGGCTGCCGTTTCATCAAGAGTCCTGCCAGAGACCAGCTGCAGGAAGAGGCGGATGTTTGTCTTTGTCCTGCAGCGCCGGTGTTACATTTTTGGATCGCACTTTCAAAAGCATCTGGAAACAATTGGAATCACCCTGCAAACAATTGGAATCCCCCTGGAAGGGTGAGGAGCCTCACGATCATCCCCATGCCCACGAAGACCGCTTGGATGGCAAGGACAAAAACCATGTTGCCAAAACGGCTGTTTCTTCTGAGATCTTAAGGGCCCTACAATTGAACATTCATGTCTTGTTTTTCTTGTCCCATTTTCGCAGCCTCAACCAACCAGGAGGCCGAGACCGACCCCTATCAGAGTGGAGCCGACCTTGCGCCGTGCGAGGACTCCAACAAGTCAGCGGCGGAAGATGAGGATTTAGAAGTGATGTCATTTGTTCCAGCTCCCAAGAGCAATAGCAAGGTTCATGAACTGCAAATGGAGCTCATCAACTTGCAAAGGGAGATTTCCAAAAGGCTATCAAAAGGTTTCTAGCCTTGAGCATTGAAGCATTTTTGGTAGGGGTTTGGAGCTGCTTTTGAAAAACAGCGGAATATATGGAAACCCATCAGCCCACGCCGCCGGCCCAGGTGGTCCTCAAGCCAGCTTGGCAAAGGGAACGCCTGTCCACGTTGAGGAGGCTGGCAATCCGTACTAGATTCTGTGATGACTGAGACTTGCAGTATATAGATTTGTTTCTTCTAGATCTAGTTGGCGCGCAGGTGGAGACACAGCCCTACGACCATTCGATTGCGGTTGTCCCTGATTCCCCAAACCCCATCGCCGTCGGGAACCCGGAGAAGCGACACTACTTGGCTGGACCGATATTCAGCAGGACCATGCAGGAGGCGCAAGAGACTGCGCTTTTTTCGACTCTTACCATCAGTTATATAGTTCACATGGCTTTTGGCGTATCTCTTCATCACCCACGTGCATCCCAATCAAAAGTGTTGGACAACACACCTAATATGAAAAATCTCCAGGCACGGGCACGGGCTAGCAAGGAGGACCCTGCGGCGCCAAGAGCCTATGCATTGCCCTCACACAGTGGCAGCCCACCAGAGCCCACAGAGGAGCTGCCTGATGTTAACCCACAAAAGCAGAGGGATCTACGTCGCGCTGCAAAGGATGCAGCAGAAGAAAAGAAGAGTGGGAAGAAAGACAAAGAGGTCGCGAAGACCAAAAAAAAGGCAGTGAAGGAGACCAAGAAAAAGAAGGCCCAAGAAGAGAAAAGGCCACAGGCGAAGAAGAAGAAGGAGAAGAAGCAGCCGGAGCTGACTAATGGCAATGAAGATGAAGAGGAGGAGGAGGAGGAAAAGGGGGAAGATGAAGAGGAGGAGGAGGAGGAAGAGGGAGAAGATGAAGAGGA